TCAAGAAAGACTGACTCCTTCCTTACTTAAAAGAACTGGGGTATAACACCACTGTTATTTTTATCACACAGTCAATATGAAAGAAAGTAAACACAGACCTAGCTCTGTGAGTCACAGCTGTGTTCCGAGCTAAATGTTAACATCATTAACATAATCACCACTAACTCCTGCACACAAACATGCAAGGCACACAATCGAAGTGTAATAAACAGTACTTGTATGGCCTCCTCCAGTCTGTAGTGCTGTGAGGTCTGGAGGAAGCTTAGGAGCTGCTGTGGGGCAAAGCGACACAGTAAATCCAACAGAAGCTCATGGAGGTCGGGTTGTAGAAGAAAGCTAGTCCCTGAGTGATGGCCTTCCCTAAATAACGGAGCAGAGAAAAGAAGAAAAGAAGGAAATGAACAGAGCGGAGACGATGAAAATATAGTGAGTGAGTGAGTGTGCAAAGTTACAGTATTTTTAGAACAAGATGCACACCATACCGTGGCTCCAGGAGGCAGCTGAGGAACTTGAAAAGTAGATGGTCATCCTAGAGAGACAGAGATGGAGATAAAAGTCCATCATAGCTATATTCATTGGGACAAACACCCAACAGAATGTTTACAGGCAGATATTGTACAGATGCATTTAAATGTACATACAAAAACACCAACAAATTAATGTAGAGCAGAATTAGGCAGTGATAGGACTGATAAATAACACTGAAAAGAGAGCACACATTTTTTTAAATCACTTTAACTCCAGCCCCCTAGATACCCTCCATTCCAAAGCCCTTCAAACCCAAGCTAAGCCCAGAAAAGAGTCCCTGTTGTCAGTTGGTGCTGAGACTGACCCCTTTCAGACATACTCTTACCAGTCTCACAGCAACACTGCATTCCAAACACCAGTCAGAGTCAACTAAATTATAATGCAATGTAAAGAAACATATTTGGAACATTGCAAAGAAGAAACTAAAAGCCAAATATAAAGTCAATTATAATGTTACCTGGCTATAAAAAAGAGATTATGAAGAGACAGAATACCTCCGTACTGTCAGAGATAAAAAGCAGAGACAGATCCTAACCAAGTACAGGCTCAGTGACCACAAACTGGAAATCAAAAAAAGGCAGACACACTACAGTGGCCTCCTGACTTGCCCTGTCCTCCATTTAGACTTTCTTACTCATACAGTATGTATAATTGGTTTAGCTTCTCCCAACAGAAACTTCAGTAGCTTTCATTCTGTTAATCTTTCTATAACTGGCACCCGAAACAAAATAAACTGGTTAAAATCATGTTAAAATAGTGAAGAAGCTGTTCAGTCTGTTACACCGTGAAAAATAGTCTCAGTAAACGCACAGAAGGGAAAACTGTTTAAGAGCACAGGATTCAGGACAGAAAAGCGTTGACCATGTTGGCACTGCGCAGAAACCTCCACTGGTGGTCAGCAGTCTGTGGGCTTGACCGGAGACCATTTAAACAGTTTCGATGATTTTAAAAGTCCCTGATAATAAAAAAATCTGTAGGTAAACTACTAAGTTTAAAAAACCTTGGTCAGTTGCATCTAGCCATAAACCAATTGTGTTTTTTTTTTAGAATACAGCTGCATATATCACTCAGTCTGAGGGTCAACTCATGCTTCAGTTACCAAACAAAATAAAAGACGATTTGACTGGCAGAAGACTACATGACTGCCGTCCTGAAACCATATTAAAGTTTGGTTGCTGAAAACCTATACACTTCCTCTCGGTCCACACATGAGCAATCATCTTCAGGCAGCAGATCTGAAGCAGAGGTGTATTCAAATGAACACTGCTGAGGCTGTACTCATTTACATCATCAGTGTTGGTAAATACGTTGCTAAATTTAAAAATTGTGGCTATGCAATATTTTCCATGTCTGACAGTAATTTGCAACAGGTTTAGTAAATATCCCCCAGTGTGTACTTTTTATGTTTTGATCATTGTGTTTAGCATACAGGCTGACTGTCTCATGGTTTCTTGTGTACTGATTTCTCAAATGTTTATACAGATGTATATTTGGGCTAAATGACTATTCATAATAGCAGAACTGGTATTAGAGCTAAAGGGCCCCGTAAAGCATAGTTGTGAGAGCTGATATTAGTGAAGATTAGATACAGTATGTGTTTTTATTTTTACAAAAACATGACTGAATGACAACACGGTAGCACAAAACAGATAACAGATTGTATATAAATATGGATGATTCGTCTTCACTTCCTGCTGCTGAGCAAAACTGAGTCAAAATATTGCCTCAAGGTTGTCAATTATCTGAAATATACTCCTTCAAATAACTTATTATGAACAAATTATCAGAAAAATTGCCACTGGTACACAAATCGGCATAATCTTATATATCACAGAAATCATATTTGAGGAAAATCCATTTGATTTGTACTTCGAATTTTTAGTATGGCTCATGTCACACCCACTATCTTGGATGGGTTGGGATATATACACGAGCCACCAGGGGGTGATCAGTTGTTGTGGTTTCACTTCTGAGAAACTGTCACATCATTCATCTTTAGATACAGTCTATGGTACAGATAAATAAAATATAAGAGATATAACAACATACTTATTTATATTTATTTTATTCTGAGCTTACCTGAATCTCAGAGATGATTTGTTGTACGTCTTCAGTGAAGAAAAACACCACTAGATCAGCTGATTTGCTGGAGTCAAGGGTCATCAGATCCTGTGAATGTATGTTGGAGTTGCTAATGCAAAAACAGCCACTTACAGAAATAGTTAGCCAGAGAATGCATTTGTAAAATTTCTTGATGCTAATATAAAAAGAAAATCAATGCACTTAAATAAGTTAACAAAACACGTGTATATTCATTCAACTTGTGACCAACCAGCAGTAACACTTTCTCCTTCAGCCAGGTCAAGACTTTGAGCCATGCTACATAGCTATGAAATACTATCATACTCACTCATTGAATGCTAAAAGACACAGACCAAAAACTAATTTTAAACAAGCAAGTACCTCTAAATGACCATTACCAATATAACAGGGTATGTACAGAGTGTGTAAATCCCCTCCATCTGGACTGGCCAATCTCTTGTCACTGTCTGCTGGGAGTATAGGCTTTCTTTTTAAAAAGATGCTGATGTTAAAGGGTTGGCTCACACAAATGATTGTTTACCCCTAATTTGATCTGCATACCTCCTTAATCCATAACTTACAGAACTGCATCACCCCTCTAGCCTGGGAGCACCTTGGGATCTCCCAGGTGTATGGAGGATATGGCTGGAGAGAAGGAGCTCCTTCCTATGCTCATTTACTAGGCCAGCATTATGACCTGGCCTGGATAAGCACCAGGAATGAATAGATAACCGTGTGTAAATGTCTGTGTATGTACTGACCTGTATGTGTTGCAGTACTTTATTCTTGACAGTTTGTTTATCCTCAGGGCTGTAGCCGGGCATGGACAGCAAATTATGGATATAATTGAAGATCTCTCCCTGTTACACAAACAAACACATATGTTTGTTTTCATCCTATATAGGGGACTTTACACTGATTTACCTTTAGGGATGTCACAATTCTGATACCAGTGCCAGGTATCTAATCTAACAGAACCCTCTATTACTGTACTTGTACTCAAAAAAGTTGTCTACTACACGCCAATACCACTTAAGAGCAACATTACGCTGACCTCATGCTGGCTGAGCAGGTTGTTTGGTGGATGAAAAGAAATGCTAGGTTTTGCAGGAATTTTAAGATAAGTGACACTGAGTTGACTAAAAGCTCTGCTTCTCTTTCTGTCTGAGACAGGGAAGGACATATTGTGTGTGTCTGTGAGTGCACACACATAGCGGACAAGATGACAAGGTTGTACTTTAAGCCACTGAAGCAACAATGCTTGATATAATAATAATAATAAACTTTATTTGTACCGCACTTTCCAGCTCAAGAGCGCAAAGTGCTACAACAATAAAAACATAGTAATACAATATCAGTTAAGAACACTCATAGACAAACAGAAGCCAAATAGATATCCAAGGCCTGATATAGGCCAACTACTACCCGGCCGGCTCTCCCACCGGGGGCTCAACCGTGGTGGCCCAGAGGACCAATACACACACTAACATATTAAAACTAGTTAAAAAATAAATTATTAAAGGTGACAAAAATCAGTGAACACGCTAAACATTAAAAGCTTGTTCGAAGGGATGCGTCTTTAACGCTGACTTAAACGCTGCCGGCTCAGTTATCGAGCGTATATCTAAAGGCTGGGAATTCCACAGCCTAGGGCCATGCACGGCAAAGGCGCGACCTCCCCATTTTTTGTAGTGTGCAGGGGGAACGACAAGAGCAAGGTGACCCGATGATCGCAGGGTTCTGCGAGGGACGTATCTAGCCAAGAGGTCGGACAGGTGCAGAGGGGCAAGGCCATGCATGGCTTTAAAAACAAAGCAAAACCTTAAAATCTACTCTCCATTTAACAGGCAGCCAATGAAGAGACAGTAGAGCCGGTGTGATTTCGGCATGCCGATGAGTGTTTGTCAGCAGACGTGCAGCCACGTTCTGAACAAGTTGGACAAGCTGGATTTTACCAGTGACTTGATCTGCTTATCAAAGTTGAAATTGACGTCAAAAATTACCCCCAGATTTTTTACCGCATATGTGCCAAGATCAACTGCACTTCCATTCGAATGGGCTGATAACAATAACTTCAGATTTGCCTTCATTTAAGTAAAGGAAATTCTGAGTTAGCCAAGTTTTGACATCTTGTAGACAGTTTTGTAATGCACCAAATGAACCTGACTCCGGTTGAACCAGCGGCATATATATGATGTTAGGGGGTAGGACTAGATAAGTCTAACTTCTTCCTACTCCGTTCAAGCATGTACTAGGTATAAGCAAATTGAAAATATATTTGTGGATACGTCTGGAATTATGTGTGGTTACATATTGACAGAATAAATAAATCAAAAATAAAATATAGATTTGAATATCATCAGCATAAAAATGGAAGGGAACATTGTGACTAGATATAATGGCGGCAAGCGGTGACAGATACAAGGAAAATAACAAAGGGGCCAGAATGGAGCCTTGTGGGACACCTGAAGTCAGGGAAGCTGCACCGGAAGAATGGTCACCAATCATAACCGAATAGGTTCGATTGGTAAGATAGGACTCAAACCACCTTAGCACCTCCCCTCCTAGGCCGAAAAGGTGCTGGAGTTTTAAAAGTAAAATGGAGTGGTCCACTGTGTCAAAGGCTGCAGATAAGTCCAGCAAAGCTAAAATAAGTGGGCGTCCAGCATCCAGGGCTAGCGCAACATCATTATGTACCTTGAGTAAAGCAGACTCAGTGCTGTGTTGGGCCCCGTGCAACAAAATGTGCAACAAAATTCACCAGTAATGGAGAATACAAGCAGGTTATCAAGCACCAGTTGAACAAGCAGAAGACAAACCGGCAGAAATACAACATCTTCACTCTCCTCAGGGCCACAATGTTTTTTTCCCAGTTCATCCACTGAACCCATACAGCACTTGTCACGTGGGTTCCAGAGGAGATGCGCATCTCAGATTCAGTGAGGATTGACATATTTGACAGGCATGAGACGCGCATAGAAAACACTTCCAAAAATTCTTGCAAAAATGCTTTCAGTGTGGATTAGAGGTAATGAGCCCTGTATATAATAATATGTTAAATTTTAATATTTGAGACTGGCAACAAGCAGTGCAGGTATGTGTCCAGCAGAGAGGCTGCAGTTCTCAGCAGCAGAGAAGCCAATTTAACATAAGAACAGGTACCTTTTTAATAGTGTGGATGCTGTAAAGCTGTAAAGCATCCACACTATGTTCTTCTGTTATTTATTGTGTGGATGCTGTAAAGCATCCACACTATGCTCTCCTTTTCATTATTTATTATTATTGTGTGGATGCTGTGAAGCAAAATGTTCAGGTTTTTTAGGTCATTATGCCGTATAGTCAAGGCTTTTTGCAACTTTCATACTTTTGAAAATATTCAGCATTTATTCTGATAATTTTGCCCCATTCAAATGAATGGGGAAATTCTACTTCAGCATACTTTCAGCTATCAAAATGTTCAGCTCTTCAAGGACATTCATGCTTCTCTTCAGGATTTTTCTAAACTTCATACCTTTAAAATATTTAGCTTTATTTTGAAAGTTTTGCCCCATTCAAATGAATGGGAAAATCCTACACTCAGCATACTTTCAGCTATTTCGGGGATCAAAATGTTCAGCTCCTCAAGGACATTCATGCTTTCCTTCAGGATTTTTCTAAACTTCATACCTTTGAAATATTTAGCTTTATTTTGAAAATCATGCCCCATTGAAATGAATGGGGGAAATTGTACACTCAGCATACTTTCAGGTATCAAAATGTTCAGCTCTTCAAGGACATTCATGCTTCTATTCAAAATTTTTCTAAACTTCATACCTTTGAAATATTTCTTGCCCCATTCAAATGAATGGGGAAAATTCTACTTCAGCATAATTTCAGCTATTTCAGGTATCAAAATGTTCAGCTCTTCAAGGACATTCATGCTTCTATTCAAAATTTTTCTAAACTTCATACCTTTGAAATATTTCTTGCCCCATTCAAATGAATGGGGAAAATTCTACTTCAGCATAATTTCAGCTATTTCAGGTATCAAAATGTTCAGCTCTTCAAGGACATTCATGCTTCT